CGCTTTTGCACCCAGCTGGGTCTTGTGCCTGTCTTGCCTCACTTGCTCTCCTCTTGACTTCACTTGTACTGTGACATATATATATACCTGCTCTTGCTTGTCTAGTTTTATATATATGTCTGTACTCCTGCATGTGAACTGGCCTGTGGCCCTGCTCTTGTGCTCGGACTGTGTTGTGACTTTGTGATCCACCCTGAGCTTGCTTTGCTTTGCTTGACTGGTCTTGTGACCCCTTGTTCTCCCCCACTTTGCCTATGGGGGTGTGTCAAACATTATATATGTTATGCTTGTGTAGGCTACAGTGGGTTAGCCTATAGGGGGTACACAATTCTAGGGTTTCCTACTTGTACTCATTTCACTGCTAGTTCATCCATTCCTGTTCACTTATTTCACACTTCCTGTGTCCCCTGTGTCGAGGGGCGCCTCAGGGCTGCTCCTCACTCCTCCCAGTTTCCCCCGACAGAGGCTCCTCTGCAGACGCTTCACATGGACGTGTGGGGCCCAGCCCCCGTCCGTGGGCAGGGTCACGAGCGCTACTTCCTGTTGGTGGTTGACGACTACTCGCGTTACACCTCAGTCTTCCCCTTGCGCAGCAAGGGTGCTGTCACTGAGGTGCTGATCGCCTTGATCCGCGAGGCTCGTCTCCAGCTCAGGAGGAGCTTCGGCTCGGACTTTCCTGTTCTGCGTCTGCACTCTGACCGAGGTGGGGAGTTCTCCTCTCGCCTTCTGCGAGACTACTGTCGTGCACAGGGGATCCGCCAGACCTTTACGCTTCCGGACTCTCCACAGCAAAATGGGATTGCTGAGCGCCGCATTGGCATGGTCATGGATGTCGCTCGTACGTCCATGATGCATGCGGCTGCCCCCCATTTTCTGTGGCCATTTGCGGTTCGGTACGCGGCGCATCAGCTCAACCTTCACCCCAGGGTCTCTCGGCCCGCGATGTCCCCAGTGTTACTGTGGACGGGGAAGGTCGGCGATGCGTCTGCGTTCCGTGTCTGGGGATCTCGGGCGTTTGTCCGCGACTTGTCTGCGGACAAGCTGTCCCCCCGTGCTGCTCCATGTGTCTTCCTTGGCTTCCCCCCTGACGCTCCAGGGTGGCAGTTCTACCACCCCTCCTCTCGTCGTGTTCTGTCCTCCCAGGACGTCACGTTCGACGAGTCAGTCCCCTTCTACCGCCTCTTCCCCTACCGTACTCCTTCCCTCCCCCCCCCACCGGACTTCCTGGTACCAGTTCCCCCCCCGGTAGACCCCCTCCCCCCTCAGGTTCCTGCCCCTTCAGGTGTGTCCCAGGTAGACACAGTCGAGCCAGTCGAGGTTGCTGCTGAGTCTGGTCCTGCTGCGGGTGCTGAGCCTGGGGGTGCTGCTGCTGGGGGTGCTGAGCCTGGGGGTGCGAGGCCGGGGGGTGCTGAGTCTGGGGGTGCTGGGCCTGGAGGTCCGGAGCCTGCGCCTGCTGGACCTGGGGGCTCTCCGGTTCTTCCGTCTCGGCGGGAGCCGCTCTCTCCACAGGAGCTGCGCGAGTGGTTTGCTCGCCGCTGGAGGCGTGCTGCTGGAGCTGGAGCTTCTTCGCCTGCTGAGGGTGCTGGTGCTGCCGGTCCCGGAGCTGCTGGGCCTGCGGGTCCTACTGGAGCTGGAGCTACTGAGCCTGGGGGTGCTGAGTCTGGAGCTGCTGAGCCTGGAGGTGCTGAGTCTGGAGCTGCTGAGCCTGGGTGTGCTACGTCTGGAGCTGCTGTGCCTGCGGGTGCTGAGTCTGGAGCTGCTGAGCCTGGGGTTTCTCCTGCTGCTGCGTCTCGCCGGGAGCCCCTCTCTCCACAGGAGCTGCGCGAGTGGTTTGCTCGCCGCTGGAGGCGTGCTGCTGGAGCTGGAGCTTCGTCGACCGTCGAGGGTGCTGGTGCTGCCGGTCCCGGAGCTGCTGGGCCTGCGGGTCCTACTGGAGCTGGAGCTGCTGAGGGTGTTGGTGCTGAGACTACTGCTGTCTGTCCTGGCGGTGGTTCTGCTGCTGGTGCTGCTGGAGGTCCTGCCGCTGGAGGTGTTGGTGGCGCTGGTGCTGTCGCTGAGGGTGCTGGTGCTGTCCCTGCTGAGTCTGGAGCTGCCGCGCGGCCTCGGCCGTACTTCGTTCCGCTCCTACAGCAGGTTCTTGGTCTTTCTCCTTTGGTAGAGTGTCCACAGCCTGTCCAGTCGCAGCCACTGTTGGAGCCTTCCTCTCCTCTGCCTGCTCCCTCCCCTTACACTGGTCCTACTGGAGGTCTTGCTGAGCGTCGTGAGCCTGCGTCTCGTCCCACGTCGCCGGTTTGTTCTGCTCGCGCTAGTGGTCGCGGTTCGCGTCAGCGTCCTCCTCCTGTCCCTGGCACGCACCGGATGTCTCTGCGTCCGTCCACTGCTCCTCTGCGTGCCCCTTTGCCTTCTCCTCCTGAGTCCTCTCTTCCTGCGCTTGCCGACCCTGAGTCGGACTCTCTTCGTGCTGCCAGTCCTACTGTCACGCGTCTACTTGCTACTGTTTGTCACTGACCCCTCTTTTGAGTCCACTGCTGCGTCTGCTCTTGTCGCTGAGCTCGTCGACTTTGCTGCTCGCTGCCGTCTAGACTACGCTGCTAGTCTTGTTGCTGAGTCTGCGTCTGTCTGTCCTCCGTCCGTCGGGGGTGAGTGTGCTCTTAGCACGGACGTCCTAGAGGACAGGCAGGAGGAGTTACAGTGTCTGGCTGCTGCTTCACCTCATCTCGCGTCCGTACTGCTTGCTCCTGAGGGAGACCCGGATGCACTAGACATCCCGACTCCGCGCTCTTACGCGGAGGCCGTAGAGGGTCCCTACTCCTCTCAGTGGCAGGCAGCTATGGATGCAGAGATGGCTTCCTGGAAGTCCACAGGCACCTACGTTGACGCAGTTCCCCCTCCTGGGGCGAACATCGTCAGTGGCATGTGGATCTTCAGGGTGAAGCGGCCGCCGGGCTCTCCACCTGTCTTCAAGGCGCGGTACGTTGCTCGTGGCTTCAGTCAGCGGCAGGGAGTTGACTACTTTCAGACCTTCTCTCCCACCCCGAAGATGACCACTCTTCGGGTGCTGCTGCACATAGCCGCTCAGCGCGACTACGAGCTTCACTCTCTCGACTTCAGCACTGCGTTCTTGCAGGGTAGCCTGCACCAGGAGATCTGGCTGCGCCGTCCGCCTGGCTTCACTGGGACTTTCCCTCCTGGCACCCAGTGGAGCCTCCGACGGCCAGTCTACGGTCTCCGCCAGGCACCGCGTGAGTGGCACGACACACTGAGGACTACGCTTGCGGCTCTTGGGTTTGCTCCCTCTACTGCTGACCCGTCGCTGTTTCTGCGCACCGAGACTTCACTGCCGCCGTTCTACATCCTCGTGTACGTCGACGACTTGGTCTTTGCCACAGCGGACACTGCTGGACTCGCCTAAAAAAACGGTCCTTAGGAAGGACCCGCTCTATACCATGTGAAAGTAAGAGAACAGGAATGAATGAACTAGCAGTGAAATGAGTACAAGTAGGAAACCCTAGAATTGTGTACCCCCTATAGGCTAACCCACTGTAGCCTACACAAGCATAACATATATAATGTTTGACAGTTGTAATTCGCCGCAATCACCTGCCGCCGAATCTCCATTTTTAATCCTTCGGTGTACGCCTGGATTTTTTCGCCTTCGGTCAGGTCGGTGATGCGGTTGAACAGTAACTCCATCTGCTGCGTGTACTGTGTTACACTACTGTATTGCTTGTGTCGGTATATCTGCTGCCGCGCCATGTAGGTTGTATTAATTGGTTCAAAACGCCCGATTAAATATGCCCGAAACTGCTGCCACGTTTTCTCCCCGCGGGCTACGTCGATGTAGTAAATCCATTCGAGAGCCGGTCCACGTAACAGTGTCGCTGCGAGCCGAATCCTTGTTGCGTCTTGTTGCGGGGTCGAACAGCCAATGGCCTCAAAGTAAATTTCGAGGGTGGCCACGAATCGCCGGACGTCGGATCCCTTCGCGCTTGGATCGAACGCCTCCGGGAGCCTCGGTCGTGCTGCTTCGAGGTTCGGCGAGAGTGGTGCCATTGGTCCGTGAAATGTCGGTGTCGCCACTGCTGCTGGAGTTGTCGGTGCTGTAGTCGCTGTGGTCGCTGCTGCTGCGGTGGCGAACCCTGGTTGGCTTGTCAGAAAAGCCTCGAGTCGACGAAGCGTCGCCTGCGTCTGCTCCATATCGGTGCGGAGGCTCGCGATGTCGCTCGTAGTCGCGTAGTTGTCGCCTTGGCCCTCCATTTGGTGATTTACAGGAAGATGCGCGACGAAAATAATCGAATTCTAGGTGCTGGTCGACTTACTGCGAGTCAAATTGACTGTAGAATCGACGAGCGCGAATTCTGTAAGTTGCGTAAATCTCCCTTAGGCGAAATTCGCGTCCGATCTTGGCCGTTGAGGAGAAAATCGATCCGACGCTCCAAATTCCAACTTTTTTGGGCGAAATTCCCTTGGCCGTTGAGATGAAACTCGATCGAACGGTCGAAACTCCAACCTTTCCACCAGTAAATCTGAGGGGTGTTCGAAAACCGAATCGAGGGGGACTTAGTGAAATTGCGTGGAACTGGTTTTACATAACCGTATCGGCGCTTTCGTCGTCGCCCCCGCGGTTTTTAAAGGCCGGAACTAAGCGGTTGAAGACCTCGCGTGTAAACCCGCTCTGATTACCAAGTGTGAGGATCTAGGATCGAGTTCAGAAAAGAGAATGAGAATTGAGTCGAATTGAATTGAATTGAATGTCCACCTGGGTACAACACGAGGCTACATATAGGCTTGACACAAGGCCCCGTAACCAGGTGTTACGCGAAGGTTCTGCGGGTCGTGAAGCGTCCCGAACATATCCTTACCGAATTCGGTAGAAGGCAATTCGGTGGCAACCGAAAAGCCAGAATTCGGTGCACGCAACCTAGCTCGGTGCTATAACTATAATAAAATATAGAAAAGCACCTAGCCTAGGAAATCAAGCAATTCATGCATGCATATGATTATCCTATGCTAGAAATAGCATGATAAATTAGAGGCAAGCAAGCATAGCTGGCATAAGCCGTCGTACTCTCACATTCGCCGCCCACCTCTTGTAGTGATAAATCCACGAGGTGTATTGCCTCAACGTGCTGTTCCTCTCCACGATTTGCAGGTAGCGTAGGGCGTCCAAGACGAGCACGTCGATGGGCGCGTACACCATATCTTCATCGACGAAGTCTGCCGCCCTCCACTGTTCGCGCGGCACCGACAAATTCTCCTGGTCGGCATCCTCGTCCTGTTCGAGCAGATCATCTATGTATTCAAGTTCCCGCCTAAGCCGTTCTTCCAAGGTGCGCTGACTAGTGCTACGCGGCGGACGCTCGTCGTTTTCGTCATCGCTTTCCTCCTCCTCCTCCTCCTCCTCCTCCTCCTCCTCCTCCTCCTCCTCCTCCTCCTCCTCCTCCTCCTCCTCCTCCTCCTCCTCCTCCTCCCCCCTATCCTCCTCCTCATCGACCTCAACCTGGTTTCCAGAGCCGGCCGGTGCCGACGAAGTTCCTGGCCGTCCATTTTGCGTCGGATTTTGTTTTATATTCTTGTTAAACTCCCCGATCGGTGGTGGGGGAATGTCCTTGGTGAACTCCCCTTCTGGAATCTGCGTCAGCTTGTCAAGATCGTAGAGTAAGGGGAGCGTCTCTTCCTCGATAGATGTCGGACTGTGGTCGGTGGATGGTCTAGCGTCAGTCATGTCGACGTCGTCCATGTGGCAGCACGTATGTTGCTCTACCGTCGTCCGTGTGCGATGCGGAGGTTGGTAAACCAAAGACGGTACTGAGTCACGGGTGTGGTGAACTCCCGGAGAGTTGCGCGGCGGTCTTCTTCGAATTCTCGGTCGAGTGAGTCTTACTCGGCTTCGACCTCGAGCCGTTCCAAATCCGCTTTGATGTCGGCGTCTACAGAGTCGGCGGGGGGTGGAATGGGTTGCGGCTGTTGGGCTCTAGGGCGACCTCTGGCCATGCGTCGCCGACTCGCACCGATGTTTCGCTAAAACAGCAGACGTCGACGTCGACTACTACTGACCAAGTCGTCAACTGAGTAACCTACAGGCGCGATGACAGACTGGCAGCTGAAAATTCTAAGTGCTCGAGAGAGCAGGAAGAAACGCAGGAACAGACATGGCAATGAGCAGGCCCGCACGGTCACGGACGGGTATGGTCCTGAGCGACTCCGATGCTACCGCGCTTCACGCACACCCCTATGCTACTACCGCCGTGCATGTGTTCTCGCATAGGCGGCGCTCTGCCCGAAGTGCCACGTGCCAAGCATGGCTAATGTTACTTCGCGCTGCACCGAAGGGGCGTAAGCCAGGCCCTTTCCACGGTGGAATGGGCGTGTGTTACGTGGCTTGGGGCCGACATTGGCCTCTCAGTACCGAAATTACAGCATGCCGACCCGAATCTCTCAGGGTCCTGGATTTATTGAAGCCCACCGTGGCAGTCCTAGCGTGGGCGCCGATCGGCGCCGACTTACAATCGGCGCGCTTGATTGTTTCTTTTGGTTCATTGAACCTAGACAGTATTGAGATTGTGCCGGGTGGCTTGGTTGTGGGCCTTTGGATGAATTGGTCGACACCGACATCGCGTGCAACTCGCGATGCCACAGAACAGTTACATCCTGGACGGTCCGATTTTTGTCGCGTGGATCGCGCTCTGACATTTTCAAAGGTGTGAACGTTTTCCCGCTTTGGGAAAATCACCGCTGGAGCGACGCGTGGCCACGACGGCCACGTCGTGGCAGCCTAGTACACGGTGGGGACGGTTTGGATCCCTCCTATTGGTCCGCGTGGCGACCGTCGCGGCTTGACGTGGCGAGCTCTCCTATTTTGTCCGCTGAGATTTACTTATCAGGAATCTCCCAGCGCAAACCTATGTCGTCGGATTGTCGACATTCCCGAGGGCTCCCGAGGCCCCTGGGACGCCATTTGGGCCCAGTTCGGAGCTCGGAGGTCGTCGCGAGGTCGTCAATCCCGAAGAGGGCCGTTGTCCCTTATGAACCGCGAAATTGGGCGGCGTCTTTCGTCGGCTGAGGTATATCATCCCGTTTGCCCAGCCTGTCCATTTGCCCAGCATGTCCATTTCTTCTCATGCCGAGGCCCGCAACAAGGACCGCCGCCAGAGAAGATGCCCCATTGGTCAAGGCTCACAAAGCTGCCACGGCGGCAAGCGAAAACATTTGCTCTACACATACCACAACACCCGACCACGAAAAAAACAAACCCATCAAAAACTAACCCCCATTTCTGTTTGCCCACACTGTCATGCACCCCACATTTCAATCTACAATCTTCCCATATGTTATTGTTCTTCATTATAAATGCAATTTCCAGGCCAGGAAGTAACAGCTGAGCACAAGGAAGCAGTCATATATACAGCTGGACCTCAGCCTCGTCAGCGGACCACATTACGTCAGTCTCCTCCATTACTTTGATTTCCAAGTCCTAGATTACTATGCTACATCTGTACATATTAAGTAAGTTGTATAAATGTCTTATAGGAACTCACAACTGTCAACATGGGCCTACATAACAATATGAAAATGGCTTGTAAACTTGTCAGTTTACGTTATTATGCTTCTCAATATATACAGCACAGGAGGACCAGGATTTACTTAGTCTCAGGTGCTAGTAACGGATTACCTAAGGCTTCTTTCGGGTATGCCTTGAAGAGTTGCTGCAGAAGTTCGGCCTCTGCAGCGCTTTCTCCGATATCAATCCCGCCATCTCCCCCATAGCCCGCAGCCTCGAGAATATCCGTTGATCCAGCTGCCCTGTAACGCATCACCCTCCTACCCTACGAGCGTTTCCTAGCTAAAGTACTACCTAAGCAAGGTATCGACTTACGGGAAGAAGAGGATGGAGGAGATGAGTGGTGATTGGTCCACAATTGTGGACAACCACCCATTAAAAGACAAGCATGGTTGGAATCCAACCCAATCCCACATTGGTTGGAATTCCAACCAATGACAATTGAACATTGTTGTTACAAGTTACAACATGTAACATAACCATTCTTATCACAATTCTATTGCTCTCATTGGTTGCTAATCCAACCATTGTGCCACCTAAGCAAGCTCACCCCAAGGAGCTCCTTGCCCTTGTTGCCATGGAGGAAGAGGAGCTCCCCAAGGAGGTTTAGGGGGGGGATTGAGCTCACCAAGCTCATTCTCAACTCCCAACTTCCAATTTACCAAAATGGAAATGGGATCTTCTCTCTAAGTCCAAGTCCTTTCCCTCACAAGTGCTCCAGGCATCTACTACCTTCTTGGTGAAGTTACATTTTCTCTCCCAAGGCTTCACCTATCAAGCTTCCAAGACTTGAGGCTATTAATAGGACTAGTCTTTCACGGTGTGTGTGTGTTCTTGGCGTTTTATAAACCTACTATTGACCCTTTTGTGGGCATTCTTTTATAAGCCCGGGTCTTTATTGTGTTTTTTAAGGGCGTTTTCATATAAGCCCGTGTTACATGCCCTCAGTAGATTAACCACATAGTCGTCATGAAAGCGCCGGTCCCGATGCAGGCGCGAAGAGACTCCTGGCGCTTTGGTCCGCACATCGCCGACGTGTTGAAATAGCGACGGCACGTGCACATATCCCGTCCGGTTGGCACTAGTTAGGTATTTGTTTAAGAGCCAATCCATAGGAGCCTCGGTGAAATGTTCCTCCACAAACCCTAGCAGGTCTTCGAGCGCTGATACGTTGAAAAGCAGAGCCTGAGCGCAGCAGGGAATTAGATATTCGTCGCCATGATCATATGGCCAGAGGTACGATTCGGGATAGTAAAGCGATATGACCGTCCACTCCTTATCCTTCATGTCCTCGTTAATGAATTTCTCGATACCGATGTCGTAGAGCCGGGCTGGCCTTGTGTCGTCCTGCAGCAGCAGGATGTATTTCGGTTTCGTCGCCATGCACTGTCGCATCACGTAGACGAAATCCATTACCAGCTTCGTTCGCCATCGCCAGGATTTCCAGCCGTCGCTGGCCACCTCGTTCGTCACGCCCAACTTTCGCAACTCCTCCTCGTCTTCATGAACGAAGTCGCACCCATCTCGCCGAGATGGTAACACTGTTATATTCAGAGACGATTCTCGTCCAGCCAATTGAGAGCTTTTTCATGCACAACTGCCGCCATCGTCTCCTTTCGTTCTTCCAAATCTCCCTGAGGAGTTGGTACCGGCTCCTTAGGCGATTCCACGTGGCGCAGCGTCGCGCCGTCGGGAAGGCTTCTAGTCCTCGTAGTAGGCCGTAGGTCCTCCTCCGAAGCGCTTGTGTCTGACGCTGCGCGTGTCACGGCTTGTTCCATGAGGCGCTGTAGAATTGCCCGTTTTTCGTCGCAGCCAGAGCTGTAGACCACGACGTTCATGTCTTTAAAGCCGCCAGACATGTTAGACGGAGACCGTCGCTGTTCCAGCAACTCAAGAAGAGACACTGGGAAGTGCCACAGTGGCAGCTTGCGTCGTTCTGGAAAGACACGTGGCATCGAAGCTATAGCCACGCAGACTTCGAGTTGGTTGTTAGTGCTCTTGCTGCTACTCCCGTCGTTGTAGACGGGAAACCCGTTTCCGCCGTTGCTCTTGTGATGATCCTCCGACGTTTGACTTAGCTTTCCGTTGCTGCCACGTGTCGCGTCCTGGAGTGCGACATTTGGCTCGAAGTAGTCTCGTCCGACGTGGCGACGCATATGCAGAGGACTCAAATTCGTGTACGCCACTGAATCCGATGTGTTATTATTAGCCTCAGAGTCGGCGTCGTCATTCCCTTCTGTTGAATTAGTCGACGGACGAGGCTGTGCCGAAGTAAGGAACGCCCTGAAAACGGATCTGGCGAACGTGGACGGTAACCAGGTTACAGATTCTGACGCTGACTGTAACGAGGTCAATGATGGCGGCGCCTGTGGCGAGAGCAGCTGTCGCCTGTGAAACTCAAACACCTTCCCAGGTCGGAGCAAGTCCAGGCGTTCATGGAATTGAACATGGCGATTGAGCCTGGTACCAGCCCAAGGCGCGAATATTAAAACGAGGCCACAAACGAGAAGCAGAAATGCGAGGCGGTAAGGTCTAGAGAGCCTCGTGCGTGGCGAAGTGGCAGTGTGCCTGTTAAAGCAGAACTTGCAGTTAGTAGTAATAGGCTGGATCATGGTGCCTGGACGTGGTTGCTGGAGGTTCTGCTAAAGCCTCTGATACGAAATCGAATGATATTCGGAAAGGACACATGTTTGCAGCGATTTTTGGAGGATAAGTAGTAATAAGCTGTGCGTGATAGCCTGTCATATTCCTGTCGGCGCGATATGTCCATCTGATACAACGGGTTATCACTGTCCGCAATAGCCTATCGAAGAATGGGCTCTGTTCTGCAGCTTTGCTCTTCCCTTGCCGAGACGCGAACACTTGCAGTGGTTGTCATCGGCAGTTTCGGCCGACGGCCCCCTTGCACCAACCTGGCCTCCGTCTAAAAAATTGGACCCCTCTTGTCTATCACGCGAGATGCGGGGAAAGCGACGCGGCATTCATCGCACCTTTCCCAAGGGTTTCTCGCCTATTTCAGGCAGTCAGGTTGGAATTAGCGTGACAAAAGGGTTCTCGAAGTTGGCGCGAAATGCTGGGTGGCGATTGCAGGCAATGTCAACCAGCACGAAATCACAAATTGTGTTCGCGCATGTTGTAGTTTCGCCGACCACCAGCAAACTGCTGGAAATCGCGAAGTG